TTTATTGGACATTTTTTTGTTCCCTTTTTGTTGCTGTGCTTTTATTTTTGAAAATTTACCCGGGGCAAATGAAACACACGCGTTAGAAATTCTCTGCATTACTCACTCACGTTGATGTAAAATCCACACTGTCAACTCGGCTGGTATTGGTATTAGTTCTAGGAATAGTTGTTGAGCAATATAAGTGTATGTGTGTGTGTGTGTGTGTGTGTGGGAATATGTGAGTAGTTACATACAAGAAGGGAAATAGTTAACTTACGAGGCAACTTTGAGGGACGTAGTAACAGCATTACAATATTATTAGATTTACCGCAAGCACCTCAGCCCGCAGGCTTTTGCCAGTAGACCGAATTATACCCGCACTCTAAAGTATAAGTATACATAAGTAACCCCAAACTGCTAGTGTAATGTTATACTACACGGTTGAAAAAATACGGGGTAGTTGTGCTACTAGTTTGCTTCGAGCTTGTATTAATACTGTTGCAGTAGGGATTAATTATTGGAGATTTAATGTTATTGGTAGTCATTCAGGGAGTCTAGGGAAAATAAGTCGTATATGGTCAGACGTACTTTTTTTTTGCTATACACAGTAAAAAATTTTGTGTTAAATTTGTAACACTTTTTTGTGTTGATTTAACAGAATAAATGTTAAATTTACACATAAAAGTGTTAAATATTTAACACTGAGTTTTTTGACGCAAAATTTTTTTACTGTGTATGAACATATATGATCAAGTGGTATTATAGAATTTAACCTAATTTCAGAACAATAATTGATCAATTTTTTTTTTATCACTTATATTATTAATAATAAAAAAACTCAAGGTAAATTCTTTTTTAACTTCCCGCTAAGAAAATCTCAGATTTTTTTTTATTAGAAAAAAAATAGGTGTTATTATTTTAAAAATTAATTTAAGATTTTTCTTCAGTTTGATGTATATAATAAATTAATTTAGTGGACGGCGGAGTTCCTTAGATGGTCCACCTTTACAAGCATGAAATGAATAAAATAGAATTAATTTAAAAAAATTTGTTTTGCATCAACCGTACTATTAATTTAATATTTACACCGCTTTCAGTTTTATTATACAATTAATTTTTTTATGTCAATTTTTTATAATTTTAGAGTTAAAAAATTTACAAAAAAAAATTTCTTTTATATTATTAATAGTAAAAAAAACTCTGTAGGGTAAATTAATTTTTTTTTATTAGAAAAAAAAAAATTAGATATTATTTTAAAAATAAATCTAAGATTTTTCTTTAGTTTAATATATATATATATATAAAATAAATTTTAATATTTTAAAAAACTTAACTTAATATTTTTTTACAAGTTTCGCTCTAACAAATTTTATCAATAATAATTTATTTGTTAAAAAATTTCATATAAAAATTAATTTCATTATTATAAAAGTAACTAATTTTATTGAATTAAATGTAGTAATATTAATAATTTATTATTTATAACTTTGTATGATAAAATTTCTCAACAAGACAAAAAATTAAAAACAAAAAATCTTTATCAAAATCCAGTCCAATGTTCCAAAAATCAAATTTTTGGAAAATTATAATTATTATTTATAAACTTAAACTTGAAATAAATTTTCTCAAGTATTTTAAATTTTACACAAAATTTATTTTTCAGTAATTTGATTTGTTGTCTTTATCTGCAAGTAAAATAGAAAAGTGTTAGATAAAAATATATTTCAATGTATGTTCGGCATTGAGCTTTCAAATTACTAATAGAAAACAATGGGAAGAAGAAAGATTGAGGCTTGGTGTAATATTGAGTGTCCTTAAGATAAGGATAGTAACGTAACGGTTGGTGGTTTAGTTACTCCACCCGATGCGCCTGTTCCTTTTGGCTCATACGTTTCCGCTATCTGAGGCTAAACGGCACACCGCGTTTCCACCGAGAATCGTAAGGGGACGCGTGTGCTGCGGTGTACATTGCTCGCTACATAATACTCCAGCACATTACTGTCGAAAAGGGAGATAACGAAAATTTAGAGCGAGGAATTTGAGTAGGAACGGGAGCATGCTGGAAAAATACCGGTTAGGTATTGCTTCTCTTTCTCTGTGTTCCCATTGTCTTGGAACTATTTCCATAGAGAAGCAAATTGATTTTTTGTTATGATGGCTTAATAAATATCAACTCTTACGCTTAAGTAAATTTTACTTGGTTCAAGAATTTTTCGTTTTAATTAAAGACAATTAAAGTCTTTAAAATTATTTTTATCTTACAATTTTTTATTTTATTCGCGGACTTAAAAAGTGACTAAAAAATAAATGCATCTTTAATAAATTTTCAGTATTATTATTATTATTATTATTATTATTTTATCAAATAGTATGACATTAAAAAAAATCAGCAGTACAATTTTTTTTAAATATTAAATATTTATATTAAAATTAAAAAAAAAAAAATTTCTTTTTATAAAAATATTTTCCTACTAGAAATTTATTTTCACTTATATTTTTTCACTGAAGTATTTTATCTCAAAGAATTCAATTACCGAGTCATGAGTGGTCTCACTGAATGTTGATGTTGATGGTAATAGAAGCCATTTAAGAAAATGACAAAACATCTTTATCTTATCTGGTCTTTAGCTGTCACAATATTTATAGAATTTGGTCCCTTTCTTATTTGTCAGTGGGTGCTAGAGAGTTGTGAAAACAAAGACGTAACATTATTTTCCGTATCTCGGTTGTAAAATAACCGATGAACGAGACGATTTACCTCCGAAGAAAGACCGGGCGGGTAATAAATGAGATAAGCTGAAGAATGGAGCCGGAGGTACGTAATGTAATCTAGTAGAGGTGGTGATGCGAGTCACGGGAGCTGGAAAATGGACGCAAGTCCGCGATTCCTTATCCCTCGGGACATTATCAATGTGTTTTCTCCACGAGATCGTGAGGCTTTCCCTTACGTGGCACGCCGAGACTCAGATAAGCTCCAGCTGATCGGACGGAAACTTTCTCTCATGGAAATTACGATTGTTATCCTTTTTTATTTTTTATTAGCAGTCTGTCGGGGAATAACTGCGCCGAATTTTATTACATTTTAATATTATTATTGTAATGTTAATATTAAGTGCAAGAAATTTTATTTTAGAGTCTCTTAATCGGGAATTTATTGAATTTCTATCAGTAAAAGTTTGGTAGTAAAATAAACTTAATAACTAAATTAAATTTTATTCTTGAATTTAAAAATTAGTCCCGTGTTAAAATTAAATTATGAATAAAAATATTTTTTATAAAATAAAATTAATTTTATTTTTATTAACCATGTATACATTTTTTTAAAAAAAATTTGGAATGTATAAACTAAATAAGTGGCTCATTATGAAATATTAACTTGCAAAAATTTAAGAAGAAAGTAAAGTAATTTATGTTAATATTTGAATTTTTTCAAAAGCGTATTGAATAAAAAATTTGAATTGTTGATAAAACTTCGTTATTTTATAATTTAAATCTCTAATAGGGAGAAAATTTAGCGATCATGCGCCATCTGTCGGGGATTTCTAATACTAAATTTAGTTTTATGTATATCAGTAAATTTTAAGCCAGAAAATTTTATTATAATAAAGCTTCTCAGTTTAAAAATTTATATAATGAAATTTTTCGAAAATTAAGCAAGTAAAAATTTATAAAAATTTGTAAAAAAATTTTTTTAACATAAAATTTGAATCCAAAAAAAAAAAATAGACCCGGAGAAAATTTTTAAGTTATTAAAAATGCATAGTATTTTATTGGAATATTTAAAAAATAAAAATAATTATCTAATATTTTTGCAACCGAATTGTATACATGAATTAAAGTTTTTACACCTAATGATAATAATATTTTTTTTTTGTAATAAAAAATGGAGTGATTATTCTGGAGATACTTGTTTTTCAGGAAAATTATAAGTGTCATACAATTATTATTATTATTATTATTATTATTTTAAAAATTTTTTCCGATTATCATAAAATTTATTGAAGTTGTTTCTTGCAAAAATGACTTACTTTTCTCTTGAATAATTTCCTACACAAAAATTGTCAATAATTTTTTAAAAAATGTCTAATAATAATAATAATTTTAAAAATTTATTTTTTCTAAAGACTGATTTTATAATACTTTATATTCTTAGTTATATTAGCTGCCCAGTCTAATACAACAATTTTTTTCTTTTAATTTTTCATAATATTGTTAGCTTGTGTTTCCCTTTAGACATAAACAAATTACCCTCAATACATATTTAAATTTGTCATTAAAAATAAATTTAACTGAATAATAATAATAATAATAAGACTAAACAAATTTGATTGACTAATTAATTAGCACACAATCCCTTTGAGCTGATAGAACCGACTAAACATAATAACTAATGAATCGAGTTTCGAACCGATAGAGTTTAACTGTTAACGATTACGTCAACTGGAGACGGAGAAATGGGAGCAAAGCCCGTGCCTAAATTATTTGACGATGTAAACAAGCAAGTATAGGTCGGGCGAGCTTGCAAACATTTAGACACGTACTTCGTCCATACATTAATACATTTATACGTTTATCCATAGGTGGCTGCACCCCGGCAATAGAAAGAGGAGCAAGGGGGTGAGGAACGAGGGGGGTCACCGATAAATGGGGGTTGACGGGGGGAAGGGGTGGGTAATTAATAGCAAACCCGTATAAATCAGAGACAGACTGGATGTTACGTTTGGATACGTAGCAACGAACCGGAATTATGCCCAGAGGGCTGGTTACCACCTTCATACTCCGAACCTGCTGGTAGTGGTGTCGAGTGTCGAGTGTGTGGAGAATCCGATGTCAGTGTGAGTAGACCAGCTCCAGCTCCCTTCTATTTCTCCAGTAGCATCCAGAACATACACTGTGTCATGTACTGTGTATATTCGAGCCCCCGACCGACAACTATTGCCTGCACTCGCTAATTTTTCAAACGCGCGGCTATAATGGTCCCGGCTAATTACTGATTTTTATCTACATGCCCTCGTACTATGCAAAGCACCAGCAGTAGCAGTGGCAGTAGCAGAGCCCAAACTGAGCAGAGAGCAGAGTTACATTTAGCAACAACTAACCTGACACACTAGAAATACTGAATACAGAACTGCACAGAGATGTGTATGGAGCTTTGGCAATTATTAACAACCAGCCTGGACAGACTCACCCCGCTGCTGCCCACCGACAGTCTTTATACCACTTTACAACACACAAAACCAGAGATTTGTAAACTAACAAATTATTCGACAATACCGTTTTATTCTCTACCTGTTCGGGTGGTTTTATTTATCTGATTGGACAACAGTCTGTGGGTTTCTCTCCTGCCCTCAAATTAACCTACGGCTCTTTTATCACAATATTAGTATTGTAGTGTTATTTTTATTTAATTTTTTTTTATGTGGAATTTATGTTTAAAATTGGAAAAAATTCGAAAATTTTTAAAATTCACACACTCGAAAATATGTAAGAAGTTATAAAATATTGGAGAAATTATTTTAGTGATTTGGAAAGTAGACCGGTCTTAGTAAAATTTGAATCTTCTTAGAGAGTATTCTTGAAAATACTCCACACTGATAGAAGGATTTGTTTATAGATAAAAATATTTAATAATATTTAACAACTCATTTATTAGAGACCACTTTTTAGTATTAAACAAATATTTCTTAGTATTTAAAATGATTTGTTTGTATTTAATAAATTTGATATTCATTTATTAAATATTAATAAATTTTTTTAAATACTACGAACTATTTATTAAGGACTAAAAAGAGATCTCTAATAAATGATTTGTTAAATATTATCAAATATTTCTAACGATAAAAAAATCCTTCTATCAGTGCATTTTAATTACAAAATTATAAGATTATTACAAAATTATTTTGTACTAATTTACTTGAAATTTGGTATAAACTTTCTCAAAATGCCTCTCTACAGCTCCTACCACAAGAAAATTAAAAATTTTATTTTTAACGTTTATTGAAAATTAAAAAAAAAATTAATAAGTAATACTTGCATTTAATTAGTTATTTTTATTAAACGGGTAAAAATTATTTATAAAGAAAATGATGTGACTGGTTTATTATTGTGTTATATATAAAATTTAATAAATAAATTTATTATTAATTGAGTTGAACAAAATATTTTTTAATTATTAAGTTCGAAGAAGTAGTAATTTTAGATTATAAAAATAGATATTTACATAAATAAAATTTTTCCACGTGATTCAGATAATTTTTTTCTAGAAATTAATTTTGCTTCCTCAACAATTCTGATAAAGCAAAAAAAGATGTATTAATTCTAACACGTACACTACGAATTTTATCACTTTCAAATTCGACGCTTCTACGAATTACTAAATGTTACCTGGCACAGCTTGGTACCCAATAAACGCAAAATTTTCATACTTCACTTTATTACAAGGTCATTTTACTAAAAATATTAACAATGTACACTAGAACAAAGGAATATTTTCTTAAATTATTCCCCGGCACGTATTCATTATTTGCGTAATAAAAATTATTTTTCAAAGAATACAAAATAGAACTTTGAAATAGCGATACCGAACTATATAAAAACGGTGACTAAACTTCAGCAGTCAGTACACAAATTTCGTGCCAATTCACGCTACAGTTTTCCTCAAAATATTCAAATCTGTTTAAGCTGAATAAATTACCGCTGCTGCGTTAAACTCAAGCATTATGGCTGGAACAACATTCATGGTAATTAAAAAAAAATTCCTTCTCAATTTCATCAATAAAAATATCCAACGCATTATATTTTTTCAACAAATTGTTACAGATCACGTTTATTCCTCACAATCATCGTCGGTATCAACAGTAAAACCTTTCCCTATAAGGACTACCAAGTAACTCAAGAAACGTCATACGAAGGCGATGTTAAAAACTTTACTCAGGCTCTCAACAAAACAGTGGGTAAAGTCACAACCATCGACCGGACTGTTGAGCTCACAAATAATATGACCAACCGAAAAATATCTACAGATCATTCCATTACAACCACAAACGACAGCGTCGTTACATTTGATCGTACTTTGGAACAATTTGATACTGATAGTAATCTCGCTCTGCATGATCATTTCTTCAATACTTCAAATGGTGACACAGTAACTACTGGCAGGAATTGCACAAAATGGAGTAGTGACGATAAAAATATCGAATATGTAGAAGATACTGATGGGAAAAACCGTGATCGGACCATTCACTTTACCACCGAACGTTTAAGAGAAAAAGGCAATATTAATATTAATCGCGCTTGTTTAGTTCACAAAAAAAACGGCTTGAAAGAAATTTATGCCAATACTACCGTGTACAGGGATGGGAAACTAGGCTCAGTTGATAATTCGGTTGCATTTATCAACAATAGTGAGTATGTTGTTGATTACAGTATAACAAATTTTTTTCCCGATCGAAGTGATATTGAACATCACGTAGCAACTTTTCACGTCAGTAAGCTTACAACACTTGATACAAATATTATAAACATCTATGTATCGACAAATTACACATCAAATTCTAGTTTTATTGTGATACTAGATGATGAAGGTGGGAAAAATGTAACCTACATCAATAAAGAAGTTTATCCCGATGGCAAAGAGGTTTTCCAATCAAGAAATGCTAAACTTGACGTTAGTAATAAATGTTATTCTGATGATGATACTTGTGAATCAAAAGATATAATAGATTATATGCGAGTTAACGGTAATTATTTTATTAACAAAGCCATCGATCGGTTTAACGAATTAGGAACGATCGAAGAAAAAGCAAAGAAGGAATCTCAGGATCTTATGGATAAAAAATATAAATGTTCTAAATAATAATTCTTTTTTTTTTTGCACTTAACCTTCTGTTCTTCTCGTTTTTATTGAGGAAATTTACGCGTAATATTTCAAATTAAAGTCATAATACGGCAAGTTTCTGAATAATCACAACAAAATTTGGACTTTTTTTCGCTCATGTATATTTTTTATGGATAAATTCTACTTGCAATATTTTTTACTCAATATTTGAATGTTTTTTTTTATCCAATGATGTAAATTTTGATTAAAGTAAAAAAAGCTTCACATACAAAATGTAGTATTTTTTTTATAGATAATTTAAATTTTAATAAAATTATATTTTGTGCTTTTAAAATAATTTTGGCAAAACTGTCAAATTAAACAGAATTTTTTATCACGTGTAACAAAAGGTTATTTTAAGATACATCATGTAATAAATAGTAGTTTTATAGTCTAGTAGTATTTAAAAAAAAATTATTACTCAACTAAACTTACTGAATGTTTAAATAAAATAAAAAAAACAAGTTAATCTATCGATTTAATTATACCATTAATTTACTCTTTTTAAATTTTGATACCACACACAGTACAAGTTCTATCCAAACACAAGCTACTACTGTACCTATTAAATTCTTTCCTTCTTTCCCATCTCTGTCACAGCTCCATCACCAAACACTCGTTTCCCCTTTTCACATCAGAGAGGCTACACCGAAACATATATAACCATATGCCGAGTGGTTGCGTTCCGCGGGATGTTTCGCATTTGTAATTTATTTGCCAAACAACTAAATATTTGTTTTTACCCATTATCAATTTAACATTCCGTCGGTTTAGTTTGTTTCCTCCTGACATTGACATTCGCTGTTGTTGGTCTACTACAAGGTTTAATTCAATAATCTCTTCTGTAGAGTTGCGATATAATAAAGAAAATTTTTACTCTGGCTTATCTATTATAGATATGATTGAATAAGACAGTGAGAAAAATATTCTCAAACTTAAAAAATTTGTTGGAGACTAATTTAATATAAGTATTTTATTTTTTATTTAATTTTTTTGTAGATAAATTAATAAAAAAAAAAAAAAAATTTTCTTGTTCCAAAATAACTTTTGTTTTTCTGAAAATTTTCTTTAAATTTTTCTTAACATTAAATGTTATTCTTATTGTTAAATTAAAAAAAAATTAATAATAATAATAATAATAATAATAATAATAATGGAAAATAATTTGATATTTTATAAATTATAAACACTAAAATTTGAAAATTTAAATGACAAAGAATTTTCTTTAACTAAAGACATGTAGCCGAATTCCTTAATCATGTTATATCATCAGGAATCACATCCACATCAGTCTCCATAAACTCTTGATCTGCATTGCTGAAATTCTGACAGACTACACGAGACGCAAGTAGTAGGAGTATAACGTGTGCCAGACATGGTTAGCTGGTGGCATGCGGCCGCAAGCTCTCAGCCTCATTGCAGCCATGCCCAAGCTTCGGCTGTCGAGGCCTATTTGCCACCCACACCCCTCGCTCGTCACCCGTCAGCCCATTGCCAGTATAACCTCTCATATCTTCGCCCCGTCGCCACCCCGGCCCTGTCTCGTCTCTGCCCATCATTCGATGCAACTTCAACGTTATCGACGAGGCGGCTGCGGGGGAGGAGGAGAGACATTCAAGACATAACACACGAGATATGTATCATTAACTTGGAATATATACCATAACTTAGTGAACGTTATCGTCAAATCGCTTATACGACTGACTTATGCTCAACAATTTCTTTTATTTATAATTAATTAATTTTAATAAAAATTTTTTACTTCAGAAAATAAAACAATAATTAAATATGTAAAAATTATATAAATTTATAACAACAAAAAATATCTGCTACAATTATAAGCAAAATTGTAAACGTATAATACATTTAATTACAATAATGCAATTGCAAATTTAAATATGTCAATAAATATCTATATAAAAGTGAAAGTATTTATAATTAATTGATTTTAATTCATCTTATTAATTTTTATTTTTTTTATTCAAAAATTCTTTGATGATTTTTTTATTATTCTGCTATTAAAATAAAATAAAAATTTATTTCTATATTATTTAGTTCATTAAAAAAATTTACTAAAATTTAATGAGCCATTAATTAAACCCGGCAAAACATCAGAAGTAAAAAATTTCTCCTGAAAGTAAACAAGTACCCACCGACAAAAAATAACTGTTATAAAACAAACGAGTGTTTTCCCTTCAATAGGGCAAAGAGAAGTATAATCGTTCGAGTTCGAGCCCTAGAGTGTTTAACCTCCACACTCACCCGCCGCGAGTCGCCCCAGCTATTTATTGCCTCTACTCGGGCAGTTCACATCCTAAATATGTTGCCTCGCTAATTTTTCACCCGTCCTGTTTGAATAACTCAAAATAGTCATACTCTACTTTATTTATCACTCTATCAAAGTATAAAATTTTATCTTCAATAGTTATTACAATTAAAAAAAAATTTTTTTATCGATCTCTTACATCATTTATTTATTTATTAATGAATTAATTTTTTTTTTAACAGAAAATTTGGCAGCTAAATTTCAAAACACAGTAACAATTTTAATATGTTTGTAAATTTCTCTTGTTAAAAAAAAGTTAGCGTGCCTAATTAATAAAAAATTTTATTTATTAATAGAAAATACTTGAAAAAAGCTTAATTTTTTTTCAGTAACAATAATTAAAAAAAAATTTTTCTTTCGTCCTTTATTTATTTTTTTTTTTTTATATAAAATTATTGACATCGAATAAAAATTTTTAGAAAATATTTTTCACTCATTAAAAATATTTTAAACGCAAAAAAAAAATTTAAATAATTTTTTCTCGGCTAATAAGTTTGTGATAATTTTTTTTAATACCTACTTTAACTAAAAAAAAACCATTTGTTGCAAAAATATGAATGTTGTTGATTAAAAAAATGTTTCCGATGCGAAAAGACAGAAAGCTCTTGAACAGTGATCAGCGTAACCGCGACCCTCAGTCCTTGAAAAGGGCGAGTGAGAGTGAGAAAGCTTAAAGCTTGAAGATAGGAAGTTCAAGTTGGAAGAAAGTAAGGGTGGGAGCAAGTATCCGTAGTGACTTAGGGGCTTTGAGCTTTTGAAGATAAAAGAAAGACCAACTGTTGAATATCGCTTGGCAATAATTCTCCGTCGATTATCTTTTGACTCTCTAATTTTTTAATTAATAATTTATGTCATTTTTTAATAAAAAAAAAAAAATAATAATAATAAGTCACAAATAATCCTAATAATAAATAATAATAATAAGATTAATTACTCACTAATTTTTCGACGTACTGCGAGCTTTCACCGTTTAATAATTCACCACAAAAAGCTTGCGTAAAAAAATGAACTTTGTTTTTAAACTTTCAAGCTTTTGAAAAGCTCCCGAGCGTGACGCACGTGCGACCGGGCCGCGATGCACGTGGTGTTTGTTCGCAGAAGTACGTTGCTCTAGGTTTCGGTGTTCAGAATTTGCGAAGCTCGCGCACAAGCGCGGATTGGCCAGTGGGCGTTTTATGCGCAAGCTCGGAGGCGTTTCTGGAGCTTTCGGGGCGGCGTTGAGACCAAGGTGGTAATAGGTGACGACCCGACCTGGGGATGGTACCGTCTTCGAGGTTGGTCCGTTCGGGACGACGAAAGCTCAAGCTCAACGCCTTACGGAGCTTCTCAACCCGTTCCTCCTCCTACGCGCAGTCTTTTCTCGGTTTTGTTTCACTCTTTAGCGCGTCGATTGTTTAAGATTAATTATTCGATTTATTTTTGTTAGACTAGAGGTTTTTTTTTTTTTGGTAAGGACTTATGGGTAGAATATTGATACAGATTTGTCAATGGGTTAATTGATACAGTATAAAATATTATAAAAGCTTGAGATTTATAATAAAGTCCAAATTATCGCGGAAAAAATATCTATATTTATCATATAAAAATTTTTGTATCTGTTCATAGGTCTATTTTATGTTCATTTTTTCTACAAACGCATGTAGAAAATTTTTAATTATTATCACTAATAATTATTAAAATTTTTTTTTTAAATTATTATCACTACTGAAAAAAGATTAAGCTTTTGCTTTTTAATTATAAAACATTTTCTAGGATTTTTTCTGGATGTTAACAATTCGGCTGCCCAATTTTAAAACACAGTAATTGCAAAATATTTATACCTGATTTTTTTTAGTATTGCTGGATTTTTTTTGTAACTTCTAGACCTTAATTTCAAGTATTTTTTCTTAAAAATATTTATATTCAAGTATTTTCTATTAATAATTCAAATTTTTTATTAATTAGGCACGCTAAATTTTTTTTAACAAGATAAATTTTAAAAAATCTTAAAATTGTTACTGTGTTTTGAAATCGAGCTGCCGAATTTTCTGTTAAAAAAAAAAAATTAATTAATCAATCTATACTAATAAATGAAGAGCCGGTTTTTTGTCCAGTTATACTGCGAAAATTACGGAACCGATCGGAATAATACTTATACCAGATTTTAGTATATGATATGTTGGTGATTACTTATCTGGATCTATTTTTTTAATTTAGTTCCTAAAATTTCCGACAGGTGGCGTATGGTTGCTAAATCTTCTCATTACCAGAGAGTTAAATTTTAGAAAATAATTAATAAAACAAAAATCATTTTTTTCGACTTTTTCAAAGAGCTCATTTGACATTTTGTATTATTTAAATTAATTATTAATTCAATTTTTATTAAATCAAATAATTTTTTTGAACTACACATTGCTATAATTTATATATAAAATTTCTATATTTATGTCGGGTCTCGCTAAATGGAGCTTTTTTATATTTTTGCTTATATGTTCTTATAAATATTAAGCATATAAATTTTTTGTTAAAAACTCAATTTTATACAAAAAATTTGTTTTAATAATATTTTTCATTTAATTTTATTTGAAATTGTAAATTTTGTTTGGAAAAATTTTTAGAAGAAAATTTTTTTTTCTACAAGCTTAGTTAAAAAAATGAATAAGCTTTTTCTTATTGAAAGAAAATATATTAAAAGCTTAATTGATGAAGAACGTTCACGTAAGAGCTTAGTTAAGATTAAAATACAATGACATATGACATCTATTTTAGATTTCTATTCCGAGTGACTAAAGTAGACACGGATAATTTTATAATTTACAACTAAATGTCTGCCCGATTTAATTTTATCTTTATAAAGTAGGGTGTGGATTAATATGTTAGCAAATTGATAGGTGTATTTTTAAATAATTGAAAGTTTAAGAGGTAAGGTATCGGTTTTCAAGAATCGATAGTGAATAAGGAGAAATTTTCTTTAAATATTCAACTCTATTTTAAATAAAAAAGCTCACGCTCTTTGCTAAAAGTCATTGTTTAATAATAATAATAATAATAATAATAATTATTACAATCATAGTTATGATCACAAATGTGTGGACATAAAAATGTTACCGTAAAAAAATGTAATCAGGAATTTATATACTATATTATGTGTATTTCCGGATAAATATATGTGTGTGTCGATACACATTTTCATGCTTCCAGTTAATTAATAATCGCTCGGGGCTTAAACGTATATTAATCTCGTGTAATTGCATTAGTTACACGTGAATTTACGCCACGATAATAAAATATTTAATTACCATATTTTCAGCTATTTTGTTTATTACATTGCACACGTTTTTGTATTTTTACGAGCTATCAATTACTAGGTAATTTTATTAAATTAATTAAAATGTACATACGAACGCTCTTTTAAGTAATTATATTCACTAGAGTAAATAACTAGATTGTAAAAAATTGGCAAATTAATATTAATGTGATTAAACAAAAAAATATTTAAAATTTGCACTTATAACTATTTTTTTTTTATTTCTATGAGGAATTTTTTTTCTAAATATTTTTCATGATAATTTACTGTGCTTTTCAAATAAAATAAAAATAAGTCGTGGTGATTTATTATCTTAATGTTAAATGTGAAATCATAGAATATCATCCGTCACGATTCAAACGTTAAAAAACACACTTTATGCTAGATGTTGTACTGCTTTAAAACTTACAAAGTCGGTGACTAAGACTTCGATAAAAATTTCCACGTATGCAACGAACATCAATGTGTATTTAATACATTCAGTGGTTCGGAAATTTCAGTGTTTTTTAAGTTTTCAAAGCGATACTTTTTAGTTCTTTAAAACTTACAACAAAATGCATTTATTGTATTCGTCAGCTATCGTGATATGGACGCTATTTATACTCCAATCTATAGTATATTACGTTCCTAAGCAAGTAAAGTAAGAAATGTCTCAGATCACATGTAATTATCGTCCGAAGTGAAGCTGAAGTCGGCAAACATGTGATCTGAGGCTTTCTTATTTACTGGCCAAGGTCAGTATACTATTTTTCTGTTCGACAGAGCCAGATAGCGGTAACTTCGTGTAGCTCATCAGAGGTCAAAAAGATTGAGGTTGTTACCTCGACGACAGAAAATATAGTCCAATTAAATTTAATTGAAATTAAAGAACCTTTGGCAAAACCAAATAATTACGATTGGCGTGAAAGTGGAAATGACCGTAAGCTCTACGAAATAAATTTTTAAGCATTAAAATAATCGATTGTTAAAATATTTATTGAAAATAAATTTTAGCGAATCTTGCAAAGTTCAATTCTATAAACTTAATATCCATCAATGAAGAGAAGTTGACCAGCGACAAGAGATGTACCGGCAATTGTGATTCACTCGATGATCACGGAAGAGTAAGTGGTCGTTCTTTAAACGACTCAAACCAATGCCCTGGTGATCTTCTAAACTGCTGGTTTCAAAGTGTAAGTTAAAATTAATCAGAATTTAGTATTTTTAACAATCGTTGTAAATTAGAAATCAGAAATGTGTTAATTTACACAATACGACCACTTAGAAAACGGAAAAACGAAAAAAAGCTGAGAAAGACGCTTATGATACAAGACCGCATCTCAACTGTGGCTCACGTGGTTGCTCTCCGATCTTGGTAACAAACCCAAAATATGATGGGTTCAAAAAAGTACTCGACCACACTGGTAACATGTGCAAGTGCAGATGCCATCGTACTTATAATCTAGACTCAATTGATGAAGACAATAAATTACTTGACTCCATATGTTTTGATCCTGTTTCTGTTGACAAGGGATTGTAAGACTTTTAATTTGCTAAATTGACCAGAATTTTGAGTATTCTATCAAATAATTCGACGTTAATTCATTTTAGTGTCGCTACTGGCACTAAATTTACGAGACATGATAACGTCATATACCTCCAACTTAGGCAAGCGCGATTATCAAATGGTCGGTTAATTGAAACTACTAAAAAGTGGACAGATTTGAAACGCTGCAGTCCTGCCAACACAAAGCCAGTTTACAATTCCGATCTGAACAAATATTTGGAAATCAAATTGGAAGATATTATATTGCCAGAAAACGCTGTTGTTACAGGTAATTATGACTCAGAACATCGTTGATTATAAATTAATTATTGTCTTGATGAATCAGGTGTGACATTGGAGGACTCAGTGCAAGGACGATATCTAAACGACAATTCAAATTTCGATGAAAAACGCGGGGAGATTACTCAACGGAGTCAATGCAGTGGAAGGTGATTTTGTTAACTCGAATGTCAGGTTCAAAAATCAAAAGTTTACTGATTTATTGGTTTATTTCAGTACCACATATTCAGTGTTTGGTAACTACCAAGTAAAACCATCCACTGGTGTTTCTATACGAGATAATAACGAATTTAGTAAATCATGTCAAAGTCACATATTATTCCAAGGATCTTCTCAGGATAACGAAAAGCTACCATACGTCGTTCCATACGTCGATTTGCGAGAAATCGTAACCGAGTCACCTGAAGCTATTCGCGGAATCGGTTGGCATCATCGCGGTTTCCCCGGATATGGAGGATTTCTCGCTCTCAAGATTTTCAAAAAAGTCTAAAAACTTTATTGTACCATTTCTTCAATGATCGAAGAAACTATCTTGTTTTTCCAAACAAAGTTTAATAAATGAATTTCGTCCACCAAAAATAATCAGCCGTTGCATTATTGTTGTACCTTTCCCCTTTATTCTAATTCTAAGTACTCAACAATTAAAGTCACATCTTTTTTATAAGTTTAATTTCGGAATCGAATATGGTGAAAGCGTAATTGTCGAAAGCAAAGCAACTGAAGATTAAAAATTTCCAGCATAATTATGCAGCGATGCAATGTGATGATCACCGTCGGTGTTATTTAGTGTCAGCTGTAATTCGATGGAAACAAAAAAGTTAGAAGTACAACAAGTATCTCAACTCGGGGCGGCAGCTCGGCTCAGAATTAGTTTGTGCGCTGTAAAAGGGGGAGGGATATGTATCTGCAGAGTGAGGCGAGCTTCCGAAGGGTTATTTATGTGGAGCAAAAGCTGCCGGCGACGTGAAGCGTGAGAAGAAGAAACTAAGAATTGTGGAGATGCGAGCCGTCGAAAAGTTTAAACTCCTCCGGTTTCTCAACCTCTAAAGTCCCCTCTCTCCCTCAGCTCTTCCTTCTCGATCTTGTGCTCTTCAGGACTCGTTGCCCCGAGTCTCCCTCTTGAGCTTGGCTTACACGGGCAAGGTGTTAAATTAAACAAGCTTAAAATTTGCAATCGGCCCCTCGCCTCTTACTCGGCACTCACTTTCCCAAAGTTTAGCCTTTTTCCTCGAATATTCACTCCCGATTATCTCGTCTGCTGAAAACCAAACAAATTTCAAATAAACTAAATTATTAATTCCCCGTTAAATCTTATTTATTCTTCTCTCTTTCTCTCCTCTCTCCAGCAATAAAAAAATCATTAATCACTAGATCGTAATTTTTTTCTGCCCTGAAAAAAATTATATATAAACTATAATAATTATCTTAAAATTCAAGACCATGTAATGTAATATTTAAAAAGAAAACTTGAGAATTTCTTTCTCAAAATTTTAAAACAATTAGTACTTTCACTCGTCCAAGATTTTCTCATTCTGACAATCAATTCCCCTAATCCTTATCTAAGCCCCAAAATTTATCTCACACAAAATCCTTTAACCCGAAGCTTCTCACGATTTACCTGCGACAGAACACTGCTCTCCACTTTACTCGTAAAAATCCATTACTAATTGCAGGGTACTGCGTCACTCTCTCCTAAATCACCCCTAAAAGTAAATAAAAAAACTAAAAAAAAAAGGAAAACTGAAACTAAAGCTAAAGCCAAAGGAAATATTTGAGTGGTACCTCGAAGGCTTGTCCGTAATTTAAACGTTAATCCATCCATAAATATTGTTGAATTATATTTTCCATCTAGCAGACACCCAGGGACGATCCGTGAGCCGAAGGGACAACGGCATTTAGCCGTTAATCGCCCAATTAAATTGGATCGCCCGAATCAGCCTCTAATCCACGCACTGTCCGCCGCTGCTACCAAACAGGGGTTTCCTCTCCAGCCATACATGTATGGCCTATACCTATCTACTATATGCTATACGATACTAACATATATAAAGGGTAGGAAATAGGGAACACCTTCACCCTCCCGGATGAAAAACTCTTTATTTTTTCAAAGTTCCCCACCTATCTCTCCGCTCCTCTGTCGTTTAACTGTTTGATGGCTCGCGAATGCATCCATGCACGGAAAACCAACAAAAACGAGTTGGCTCGTAAACGAATTAAACCGCATTCTGGCAATAAAAATTAACTCGCCATTGTAAATCTATTTTTCGGTCGGGGCGTACACGTAGAAATTAATATCTTTGTGGTAACTGAATTTTTTATTACTTGGTACTTATATTATACTATTAAGAGAATAAGAAAATTTTTGTGTCCAAATTATGTATCTTATGAATTATTGACATTTCTAAATATATAAGCTCATCTTGATGTTATACTCATCAAGACCTTTCATTTGAGTACCCACATCAATTTTTTATATATTTATATATATTATATATATGTATATATATATATAATATATATAAAAATGCATGTAGGTACTCAAATAAAAGCTCTTGATGATTGTAACATCGGAATAAGCTTATATCTTTACAAATATTAATAATTAACTTAAGAAACGACCTTGTATCTTGTGAACTATTGAAATTTTTACAGATATAAGCTCATTCCGATGTTACACTCATCAAGACCTTTCATTTAAGTACCCACATAAATTTTTCATATATTTATAAATATTATATATTTATATATATGAAAAATATTTCAAAAATGCATGTGGGTACTCGAATGAAAGCTTTTAATGAGTGTAACAGCGAGATGAGCTTACATCTTTAAAAATATCAATATTTAAGAAATTACCTTGTATTTTTTCAAATACTGACATTTATAAAGATATAAGCCCATTCCGATGTTACACTCATCAAGACCTTTCATATGAATACCCACATGCATTTTGATATATTTTTCATTTATACATATATAATATATATATAAATATATGAAAAATTAGTGTGGGTACTCAAATGAAAGCTCTTGATGAGTGTAACATCGGGATGAGCTTACATCTTTAAAAACGACAATATTTAATAAAGTACAGTGCAATTTAATAAAAGTCATTATTTAATAAAGCAAAATCTTATTTATTTATGGATATATTTATATTTATATGGATTACTTCCGCTGAAAAATTGAAAAATTGTGAGTGTTTTACCGTCAGAAAATTTTTTTGCACTGAAAAAAAAATTAATTTGACTTGAAAAAAAAATCTCTAAGCTATAAAAATTATTTTAAAGAGTTTTGTCTTGAAATAAAGAGTAAAATTTTTTAAGTAAAGAAATTTTTCTCGATTTAAGTATATTTTACTTGATTTAAAAATTTTTCTCTTGAATCTTATTAGTTTTTACTTTTTTTGTGTGGTAATTTTTTTTTAGTTATTTTTATTATTACAATTTTCTCGAATAAAAATTACATAAATTATCCCCGATAATAAATTTAACTAATTTTCACTATTTTCGGAATGACGTTCATATGTGATTGTGAGTAACTTGTTTTTTGTCGTATGACGCACGTTGTCACAAAATTCTCAGCGTGTAAGTATAAACATCCATATTCATATCTGTAGAGAGTTTAGAGTCACGATATGTAGTTGCGATGACAACGATGGAATTAATTAAGAGCACCCGCTGGACGAGCAAAGGCCCATGCAAATTTTGATAGCTCGGTCCGCAGTGCCCAGTGAGGGTGTCGGGTGGCCTGACAATCTCAATGTCCGAGCTTGGACCGTAACTACTGCCTGGCCATATGTCGCCACACTCGTGACGTCACTGGTTAACTATCGCCCAGTATTTCCTCTGCTGGATAGCATATAATGTGGACGCGACCCTTCTCTACGTCGTTGACACGATATGCCGCGACTATTCTGATTAATTGTCCATAGTTTGCGTTATCAGTTATCCGCAATAACTCTTGTTTTTATAGTAAGAATTTTTTCTCATATTTTTAAGATCAAACATGCAGAATATAACTTTGAAATTAATTAATTAAAAAGATATTTTTATTTTTTTTACAACAATAATGTATGGCAAAAAAAAATTTTTTTATATGACCACATATGTTCACACAGACGACCAATAACCATGTATGTCCATTTTCTGACTTGATATACTTATATTAGACGTATATATGTCCATAAATAATTTTTCAACTTAATTTAGTTCTGAAAATTTCCAACAGGTGGCGCATTGTCGCTAAATCTTCTCACTACTAGAAACTTTAATCCATAAGTTAAATATAAAAATAAAAATCATTTTTTAGACTCTTTTGAAGAGTTTACCTGACTTCTGTTTTTAATTTAATTAACTACTGAACCAATTTTGACTTAAAATAATATGACAAGCATGCACAAAACAAAAAATTAAATAAACTGATACTTGCTTCGTAATATAAAGTAAAAAATAAAATTCATGATGATACACTTTTTCTGCACGAGATTTTGAACTTTAAATAGTCGAATATTTAACAAAAAAAAAATTCACTGGTAAAAAACTACTTATCAAATACCCGAAGGAAAAATTCAAATAAAAAATTCTTGGAATAAAATAAAAAAAATCGTTTAATACAACGATTGACTGTGGATAAAGCTCAACAAGAGAATAAACAAACGTTAATGGAATTCACTCGAATATATAAATATATCTATCTCGAATTGGCAATATTTGGAAATTACGAAATATGAGTTTACATATAATAATTGTGGTAAACAGTGGTCGACGTGGTTAACGCGATTGCGTTGAGTGGTTGTTATAAATACATATATGTGTATATATTTTTGAGAGAGAAATTTAATCTCTCTCTTTATTTGTATTAACCTCTTTCATTATCACTCTACGCATGTGAGAGATAAATTTTGCGTGTTAGAGGGAGAAATGTATTTATAAAAATACATATATACATGTGCAGATTTGCCTCGTCATTGGTTAAATAAATGGGTGATATTAAACGCGAAGCAACTCGGGTAAATCGAAATTTTATTTCACCCCCCGATTTGGTTGCCGATTAATTCACCATGCTCTGATAATAATGGATCGGAAAATATGCCTGGTATTTATCCTCAATTAATTATTTTACTCGATTGTTTATACATTTAATTGCGTGGACGTTGTTATTTATTTATTTACCGGAATGAATTTATTCTGGAAGTTAAAATGTGAAATTTATGGGAGGTATCACTAAATATTTATGATAAAAGTTAAATTTAAACTATGAAAAAATATTTGAATATCGTTAGAAGTACGACACAGTAGTGGGCTATTAATGATCGACGATATGATCGATATTAGCGAATATTTCCCGTGGGATATTTATCCCGATCGTGCCTCCGATACCTACTCGTATTCGTTTTGCCCGGGTGGTTATCGCCCGGTGACATTTATTCAAATGTAATATCTTGTCGCTGAAGATTATACCTGAGAGGGGAATGTTTTCACATGGGAA